ACTTGGTGATGCTATCTTGTTGGTCTGAGTCTCCTACTGATAGGCCAGAGTTCAGTGAATTGGTTTCTTCAATAAATGCACTCATTGAACCATTGGCTGGCTACCTCGATTTTACTGACATTAATAATACTTGTACTGTAAAAGAATCTGATGTTTATGACTAGATCTATTAATGTATTTTTTGTAGAATGTATAATTTGAAACATCCTGAGTGTTTGTTTAGCTGCCATGCTAAAGCAATATTAATTATCTCAGAGCTAGCCTTGCCAATCATGCTACACTTTGCACTTTGTCGGGTCTGTCTTTGTTTACTATTCAATGTATACTGTAGTAACCTGCTAATTTAATTATCAAGTCTTAAATCTATCTATTTATGTGTGGTTCAGATCTAGAGTTGTATATAGTCAGGTGTTGTTGTTTTTGGCAACAGAGAACAATATAGTATCTACATGTTTCTCCTGGCTTTGTTTCTCTCTGCTTGGGTATTATCGGTAGCTCTTGGTAAGCTTTCTGTTTTTTTGAATTGTCTAGCATTAAAACTAAATCTAATGGTGTAGATATATAGATAGTCTATTAATTATTGTTCTCTCTCTATTTGGCCATGATTTGGCATAGCTTGATTTGTATGTTTAAATTGATGCCTTCTGTAGGTTGCTCACATGGTCAGGTACGTCTAGTGGATGGAAATAGTCCAAATGTTGGAAGACTAGAAATATGTATTAATGGAGATTGGGGAACTGTTTGTGATGATATGTGGACTCACACCAATGCTCAGGTAGTCTGCAGACAACTGGGATACTCTACTGATGGTAGTTTTTTACATATAAATCTTTTATAGGTATGTTTTTCTATGCTACATGTCTTTATACCTATACAGGGGCTGTATTTCTTAGAGGAGCATTCTTTGGTGCTGGGAATGGGTTCATATTATTAGATGATGTTGTTTGTTCAGGATCAGAGAATACAATACTTCAATGTACACACTTAAGTTTTGGGTCTCATAACTGTGTACATGATCAGGATGTAAGTGTACAATGCTCAGGATCAGGTAAAATATAATCATTTGCTAGTGTAATGACTCATCATGTTTGTATTTAGTAACTATAGAAGAATCTGTTGATAATGTCACAGTGTGCAATACTGAACTTGATAACCAACTGTGGTCAGTGATGAGGTATAAGCATATGAACATTATTTTGTTAATGATTATAGTTTATTTTTAGTACCAATGGTAGGTGTGAGCCTTACATTAAAAGAGACTCTGAAGCTGGAATTTGTGATGACTTTTATATTCCTGGTACTGATTATGTGTACATTCCAAATAGGCGTCTTGGAGGCTCTCAGAATCTTTTAAGACAATTTTCGGAAGAGCTATATGAGTACAATCCATCAATACCAGTCCGTTGTCGTGATATTGCTATTAGAGTTCTGTGTACTCACTATTACTTGCCCTGTGGTTTTAATGGTACCCTGCATGTTCCACTACCTTTATGTCCTGATGTGTGTCGATATGTGTCAGAAACATTGTGTCCTGATATTTGGTCATTCACTGCTAGTTATCTTACCTCTGATCAAATTCATCCTGAATACCGAAATGACGAGGGAATCAAATTGCCATCATGTAACAATACTGATAAGCTAATTGATTTTTTGAATCTCACTAGTGACTGTTGCTCTAATGGACGTGTTTCACTACCACAACCAACTGTCACAAAAACCAAAAGTGAATACATATACAATCATTAAATAAAGATATAGTTTAATGATTCCTAAGATGTAATATCTGTTTATGGTTTAAGTACAAGCAAACAAGCAAAATAATTGCTAGTTTGTAGGTTAAGATATCAGTTATTAGGGAATTTTGAGAAGTCAATGAAGTGTTTGATTACATATTGTGTGATAATGATAACCCCCTGTGTTTACAATAAATGAACAACTTCTCATGCTTATCATTTTATATTATTTACTACAGGTCATGATTCAACTAGTACACCTACTTCCTCAGTTATCCTGTCAGGAACAACTACTACTATCAGCACTATAGTAACACTAGGATCAACTGTATCTTTATCAATGGTCATTCCTAGTTCTTCTTCATTTAAATCGACATTGGTTATAATCCCATTAGCAGTAACTATTCCACTAGTTTTAGTAGTAGTATTTATAGCAGTGTTATTCAGTGTCTGTTTGATTAAGAGGAAAACAAAGATAAAGCAAAGGAAGATAGTGCTGCATGAATCTCAGCTTGGCTCCAGGCCTTCATTATGTAAGTAAAGCTATTTATGTAAGAAGTATAGCATGTTTTATAGACCCATAATGTTTATCATTAGTTGACAAGTGTGAGCCCATACTATACTGATACTATCATTAAGCTTTCTCTTACTTCTATGTAGCTCCTGATAGCAGTGAAGACAACATTTATAATTCCAGCAAACGAATTAATATCTCATCAATGTACATGGATCAGTTATCAGATTATATAATATCAGGATCAATCATTGAAATACAAGAAACTGTTGGACAAGGTTTGGGCAACACTGATAAATGTATCAATTAGTTTTTACTTTGTTTAGGTGAATTTGGGATAGTTTATCGTGGTGTAATGACAAGTAACACTCAATCGCCAAAAGCAGTAGCTGTGAAAACATTAAAAGGTTTGTCATTTAATCTTCTTACACAAAGTATTTGCATTAAAGTATGCTAAATTTGCTTTATTCTAAAAATTATATCTGTTATATATATTCACCATAGCTTAACAGTAACAGTCTTATTTTAGTAGTTTTCATTAATTACTCTTCATTTAATGCAAGTGAATTTGTGTATAACTGTATATGCATTGTAAATTTCAGGCCTGCATGAGGTGAAGTACAAAACCTGAATTTAATTTAATCAAAATCAAAACCCAAACTAGATATGCAACATCAGAATGTACAGAAATATACATCAGATTATAAAAATGAAAAATTTTCTCCTAGCTATTCTTACAAAATTTGGCCTGAGACTCTGTACTTAGTACATGGTCTCAGGTCAGATTTTGTTAGAAAATAAAAATTCATAAAAAATCTAATTTTGATTGGAATTACCTTAAACTAGATATACAACATCAAAACAAGTACTTGTATCAGAAAAAAATATGAAAGTAGAGAGTTCTTCCTAGCCATTTTTAACAAAATATTTTTGACAAAATTGTTTTCAAAATTTGTAAAAAAAATCCAGTTTTGATCAGAATCACCTCAGATTAAATATCAGGGCATGTATGTGTATCAGGGAAAGACTATAAAAGTAGAAAGTTGCAGTTTTTGACAGAATTTGGCCAGAGATAGAGGACTATATTGTCTCGGACCAGATTTTTGTAAAAATTTTAAAATTTCAAACAATATAATTTTGATTAAAATCAAGTCAAACTAGATCTACAAAATCAGAACATGCATGTGTATTGGAATAAATTATAAAAGTCAAAAAGTGATTGCCATTTTTTACAAAATACAAAATGTACCAAGGATCTGGGTTTTTTAAGCTCTACTGAGCAAGCTAAGTAGCTCACTTCATGAGCTGGCAAAAAGCTGAGCGCTATACTGGTAAACCCTGATTGTCACACTTCCATTTACTGGTATACAATGCCTGTACATATAATCCTATAATGCTACTTAGGTAAATTTAGAGCATTTTTCCTGCATCTGTATTGATTAGGTATTTAGTACACTATGACAACTCAATTTTGATAAAAATTCTTATTACATTTTGTCAAGATTAAGGCTCAATTACAATTATGTTATTTCTAATAAAATGAGCCTCTAATTACAATCAGAATTGTAATTGACCCCATGCAGGTTTGATTTTGTCATTATCATTTTGAAAATTATTTAACTGTGCATGTCATATTTTTACATTGTAAGCTATAATTGTTGTAGGCTTTTTTAAAGAGAGTGATATTGATTCATTACTGGATGAGTGCATTATAATGATGTCATTTGATAATTTAAATGTATTACCACTGATTGGTGTGTGTCTTGATCTTGGACCAGCACCATACATTATCATGCCTTTCATGTCAAGAGGAAGTTTATTGTCTTACCTCAAGAAAGAGAGACCTAATCTTACAGTAGCTGACACCAGTGAAGAGGATATTATACTGAATGTCAGGAAACAGTTACTCTCCATTTGTTTACAAGTTGCTAATGGAATGTCTTACTTAGCTTCACAGAGGTTCATTCATCGTGATCTTGCAGCTAGAAATTGCATGTAAGTCTTTGACTGCACATTAATGTGATGTAATATTAGTATGTATGTAGGATAAGATGTATAAATTGTTGTAGAGCTAGAGTGGCTTTAGCACCATTCCTCTCTCCCCAGATTTTTTATGCAATATTTTTATACCGTCTAGACCTACTTGAAAATTTTTACTGTAACTTTAATTTTAATTAGATTAGAATTAAAATATTAGATCACATGTATAATTACATGCCACATTCAATAATACATAACACAGTTTTATTACGTAACAATTAAATCACAACACAGTTTTGAAACACAAAAATTTTCTACTTCATTAATTTTCACATTCACAGTAATTTGTTAGTTGTTTAGCAGCTTCATAAGAGACCATAATGTATAAAGCATTATTATAGCCCTCCCCTGGATATGTAGTAGATACACTTAAACTTTTACTGAAAGACTTCATACCAATTATTTTTTTCTCCACTGTGCCCATGGAGGAAGGATATATTGACATTATTTAAATTAAATATGAATTAATTTAACAGGAGAAAGATATGTTATTTGTATAAAAATAATACACACATTATTAGTCGTACTACTACAGTATTATAATAGTGCCTATCCTCATTTTCTTTACACATTATTTGTTTTGTCTTGAAGTGATACTGAGTTATTTTGTGTACAACCAGCAATATTTAGTTATTATTATTAATAGAATGAAGATGAATAATTTTTAATAGTTCATTATAAAAGAGTTTCATGTATATTGTTTTATGTATGTTAGGATTGATGATAATGGTATTATTAAAGTAGCAGATTTTGGTCTCTCTGAAGACATATATGCCTGCAATTACTTCAGGCAACTAAAGGGCAGTGATAATAACTCAGAATCATCAGCAGTTAAACTACCAGTGAAATGGATGGCATTAGAGAGTCTTCATGATGGACTGTTCTCTGAAAAGTCCGATGTTGTAAGTATTCATCTGCCATTACAATTTA